TGTTCAGTGGACAAACAGATCCTTTTCTTTACAACTATTTTCCATTACTCAGTTTACCATTTTAATGGCATATATTTTGGTGAGATCCGTTCCAAATTTCTCTACAAATATTTATGGTTTTGATAAGCATTATTTAAAAAATAATAATTAAAAGATTGGGTAGAAAAATCAGAAAATACAGATTCAAAAGGAAGACGCTTTAAAAACTCCCATCATTGCCCTTCCAGAGAGAACCGTTGCAATCACTCACTACTTTGTGACTTTCATGGCACCACTTCCTGCTTTGCTCATTGAACGTGCTCTCTACACGTATCATTGCTTCACCAAATGGGAACATACTATATGCACTGTGTTTTAAAACTGCTTTTTAATCTAAATATTTTGTAGACCTCTTTCCATGTCAATATCTCTGTCTGTATATACTTTTGTGTCATTTTAAAGCTATAAACCATTCCCCATAGATTCTGAGGTTTACTGAAACAATTCCTTGATACTGGACAAAAAGAAAAAAAAAATCCATGGACTTCTGTTTTCTCTCTAATCAAACTCCTGTTCTTCGGGAGGGTAGTATAATATATTTATCCATTTCTTTATCTAACATTTATTTTCTGCTCTGTGCCAGACATTGTGCTCTGGGCTTGGAATACAAAGATAATGCCCTTGCTGTACCCACATAAATAAATGTTGTAAATAGGTAATTACAGTTGCTGTAGTAGATGTTGGAAGTATATTCTCCCTTCTCACTTGTTTTAAAATCTCATAAATTGATAGGATATAATAGGCACGGCACAGAGAAGGATAAATTTTCTCTTTTTTTTTTAATCGAAACTTACTTCTGTTGATGGGGAAGTAATTTTAGTTTATAAAATAACAGAAATTAAAAGAACTACAATACCCTCTGGACCTTTTGTTTGCTATCTGCTCAACGAAAAACTGGACCTATCCATTTAGATCAGGAAGAAAGCAAGCTTTCTAAGCCCTGTAGAAAGGCACGTTCCTGCTGGATAACCATTTAATTTGTGTCTGTGTCATTACCCTTGCTTTCTTGTTTTCAAAAGCTTAGAAGAGGACTTAGTATTGGATTTTGACTTTAATGCCATCTAGCCTTTTTGAGGAGCCCTGATGGTGCAGTGGTTAAGAGCTCGGCTGCTAACCAAAAGGTCGGCAGTTCTAATCCACCAGTGGCTCCTTGGAAACCCTGTGGGACAGTTCTACTCTGTCGTATAGGGTTGCTTACAGTATTAATTCACTCTTCTCTTCAATGGAGTGGGTCAGCAGGGACACAGAAACAAAGTTGTCAAACTCTAACAGAGTCCTCTGAATTTCTACCCCTCTTCTCTCCTGCTTGCCTTTCCTTTCTGTGGTGGCGGTGACACCGTTAGGTTGATGTAGAGAGCAATGTTGACATCCTTGATTGTCCTCTGACTGTAAGTCAACCATGTTTTCTATGTGGGCATAAAATCGGCCTGCCCCCCAGCTGCCTCCCTGCCATCTGCCCCTGTCCACCCTGCTTGTGTCCCTCCCGTAGCTCCTCCTCCCTGTGTTCTCAGTTCTCCTTGCTTTCTGCAAGTTTATTTTAACCTTGATAGAGCTCAGAGTTGTATTTTTTAATCGTAGCTTAGTTTCTTCTCTACTCAGTAAGAGTAGTGAAACCAATCCCCTCCAGAAACAACGTTCAAACACTTTCCTGAATATGAGCAGTATTTTTATTTTTGAATATTTGCACCCAAACTGTGCCCAGCTATTGAATTTTCCCTTGCTATCTATTTGTCAATACTTAGAATGAGAGTCTGTGAATAATTTCATTTATTAAAAACACCCCCGGATCCCCTATGCCGGATAGGCCAAAGCACAAAGCCCAGTTTACAGAAATGAAGCCTCACAATGCTGCTCTGTAGCTTAGCACCTGCCCAGATAGTTGTGCTTTTCTGAAACTCCACTCCGTTCACATACATAGTTTAGTTTTACTGTACTACTAGCTCTTTGGGTTTGTACAGATCAGGATAGAATGGCTTTTTGAAGATTTATATCTTCAAAGCGATGGTTCTCTAATATTGGAATCATCTTGGTGCAGGCCTGTGGTGCTTGATAAAATCTTTCTGTGCATACCCATTGCCGTCGAGTCAATTCCAACTCATAGTGACCCTATAGGACAGAGTAGAACTGCCCCATAGAGTTTCCAAGGAGCCTCTGGTGGATTTGAACTGCCGACCTTTTGGTTAGCAGCCATAGCACTTAACCACTATGCCACCAGGGTTTCCTTCTGTGCATAGATAGTTTAATAAAAGCTGATATGCTTTTCTAATGGAGAACCATTGCTTTCTTTGGAACATTTGATTTTTATGCAGCACTTACCTTTTTTTCTGGAAGGAGGGAAATTCCAAAATTTGGAGAGGTGCCAAATTTCCTTCCTTTGCTTTTGGACATGGCTTTGTGATTTAAATGGAACTCTCAAAACCAATTTGAATACAACTGCCTGTTTGAATTCATTATTTCCTAAGAAATACTGCTGATATACAGTTGTGAAGCACACCCCAGGACAGAGTCATTTTTGGCCCCGTTGAAATGTATTTTTCTAACCCAAGCCTTTGTGTGGCTGTTTTTGTTCCAACAGGAGATGGCGAATATTTTGGCTCAGAAACAACTGCGTTCCATCATTTTAACAGTGAGTACCTTTGTACTGTGACCGCTTTGTTGGGGAGGAATGGCCTGGTGCATTTATTTTTCTCCTCTTTTGGCCTTAGTTTGTGGTTTGTTTTGTGGCAAGCAGTAGGAGCTATAAAAGAGGAAGAAGTGTGCTTTTGGAATTGGAATAAATAAGGCTTTCCCATGAGGAATTGCCTCATAGGATGGGTGGGAGAAGTCTTTGGGAATGCTCTAGAAGAAAAGAAAAATGAGACACATTCTGGCAGGTCAAGTTGGAAATCTCTGTCAGTGGGACGGGTTTATTAAACTAACCACAGCTTTAGCTTTGCATTTAAGTCTGATCTAGGTGAAGATGATTAAGCACTTGACTGCCAGCCGAAAGGTTGGTGGTTTGAACCCACCCAGAGGTGCCTTGGAAGACACGCCTGGCAGTCTGCTTCTGAAAGGTCACAGCCTTGAAAACTCTGGAACACAGTTCTACTCTGCACACATGGGGTTGCCATGAGTTGGAATCGACTCATCGGCAACTAACAACAACAAAGAAATCAGGGTTCCGTGACTTAAAACTATCCACCAGTCTGAGCTTTGACTCTCTTTAATGAGGGAGCTATAGGTCCTGAGAGAAGTCTTGAAATTTTGGTCATCATTTTCCTAGGCCCCTTTGCAAGAGAAAGGCAGGCAAGACATACATGAAACCCACTCATTAACTGCCATGATAAAATGACCTTAAACCTGGGTGAAAAAGAAGTTCTAAAGGTTTCATTGTGAATGTTTAAAAACATGTAGAAATATATCAGATAATAAGATTTCCTGAGGCCTCATCTGCTACTTGACTTTTAACCAAGGGCTGAAAGAAGCAGGTGTGATTGGGTTTCTTTCTTTTTTTTTAAAATGACTTCTGCATGTTGACATGTCGTGGGGTTGTTAACCAATGTCATAAAACAATATGTGTACTGACTGCCTAATGAGAAAATATTTGTTCTGTGAACCTTCACCTAAAGTACAATAAAAAAAAATTAAAAACAAAAATTTTCTCATTTCAAAGGAGAGCTTATAATCAAACATGCACATATATACACACACATTCCAGTGTAATGAGGCCATTAAAAATTAAAAGCTTATGAGGACAAAGGAAATAAATGTTCTAGAACCCAAGGCCAATAGTAATGATTACAATTTGTCATCTAGTTTGATTTTTAAGCTTCCCAGTTGTCAAAGATAAAGAGAAACATGTGAGTGCAGTTTTCATTGTTTGGTAAAAACAGTTCTTCAGGGATGGTGAACATTTTTCTCTTGGAATTAGAATCTGAAATAGGTCTTAGAAGACCAAACTAACAGATTCTAGGCTCAATTATGGTTTTATAGGAAAGGCAGAAGGATTTATCCTATGGTTATTTTTTATACTGGCTCTCAATAAAAATGGAAGCCACAATATTAAATTGTAGTTCAGTGAAGGTGTTTGTGCAAGGAGGGGAATGAGGAGATGAAGGGTTAGAAATAGTTGAGCTGAGAAGGTCTTACCCTCCTCTTGCTATTAACATGGTATGGAGTTGAGCTTAGAATGCCCAGAGAAATGAGTGGGTGTAATGACTGAGCTGCCTTGTCTCAAACATCAGTGGGACGTTTTTATGAGAATTTGATGGCCGGCAGTTCAGGGTTGGTAGTCAGGTAAGAACTTGGAGTGCAGATACTTTAGGGTTGCTACATAGATATCCATACACGTTGTACATTAAATGAGTACTGCCAGTTAACATTCTGTTCTGAAGATTGAAGGGTATGACGTCCTAGTGTGATTTTCCCACTGATCCCATAATTTGCTTTCCATCTTCCCCTTTTACCCCTGCCCTCCATCCTTTTGGTTCAGCGAGTTTGTATTATGCTGTCCCCTCCACCTTCCTATTTCTAGCCCTCATTCTCCCCCCACCCCCTTCTTTGATTAGCTGTTGGTGCATGGTGCTCACAGTAAGGGCATGGAGTCCCGGTATATGCCAGATCAGGGGCACCTAGGCAGCACCCTAAGGGCCTAGACTTCCTCCAGCCCTGACTGTAAGGTCATTTTTTTCTTGAAGACTGCATAGTCTTTCATACAGGGAAGCTCTGGCTGACACTGAACTGTCGTTTAGAATCAGGTAACAGCCATCCACAGAACAGCAACAGTGGAGCATCCAGGGAAAAGGTCTTGAGACCGTAAGACGTTGTGGGGTCTAGCACGTTCAGAATAACTGGTTCGAACAGTCGGTTCACCTCATTGCCTGGCTGTTTGGCATGATTTAGGAACAGCTGTGGTCACTGCCAAGGAGGATGTCTGTTAGGTCCAGGTGTTGAATTAGTTAAATTTGGCGATTAATTATTTGCAGTTAACTAGTGGCAATTAATTAATAATGGCAATTGAATTAATTCAGTTACTTGGATTTGTGGCAACTATCTGTTCAAGACCCAGATCTGGTGGGAGCAGAGGCTCATGAATCCAGTCTTGCTGCCATTCCGTTTACGTTTGTTCCATTTTCAGTTCTGTTTCTATGGGGAAGGGTCATTTTATTTTTCATTCAGTTGTTAACAGGTGAGTAAAGTAATGCGCATGAACTGGCTCACTGCTTTGTAACGGCAGTGGTCCCTGTATAGTTTCCACAGGGAATTAGCTGCAAACCTGATACATACGTTGCTTTTGTGTGTTGTTTTTAAAATGTTTCCCCAGTTAGAAATGGGCCAGGGCTTTGAACCGGTTCATTCTGGTTCAAACCACTGCTGAGCATTTCTATTTCTAACAAGTTCCCAGGGGATGCTAATGCTGCTGGTTAGGGACCAATTCTGAGAGCCATTAGTAGAGCAGTGGTTCTCAAAATTTATTACATGTAAGAATCACCTGGGATTTTGTTAAAGAGTAGATTGTGATTTCAGTATATCTGGGGTGGAAGGGCAAATTCTCAGCAGGGGTTCGAACTGGACCGAACTGGTTGGAAGCCCGGAAGTGGGACCAATCTGTCAGAGAGAGTCCTAGGGTAAGATGATGGCAAAAATTGCTAAGGGTAATTATGCACCACATGTATTCTATTGCTGTATGTAAGGAATGCTTCTGTTCTAGAAACCCACAGTTTTCTTCACAAGATACTCCCATTTCAGGCACATCTTTTTCTTTTTCTTTTTTTCTAAGTGGCTAAAACTACGTTATTTGTTTTTTTTTCTTATTAAAATTTTTTCTCTATTTTTTATTGTACTTCAGATGAAGATTTACAGAGCTAACTAGTTTCTCATTAAACAGTACACGTATTGTTTTATGACAATGGTTAACAACTCCATGACATGTCAACAGTCTCCCTTCTCAACCCTGGATTCCCTATTACCCGCTTTCCTGTCCCCTCCTGCCTTCTAGTCCTTGTCCCTGGGCTGTTGTGCCCCATTAGTCTCGTTTTGTTTTATGTGCCTGTGTAATCTGTGGCTGAAGGGTGAGTCTTGGGAGTGACTTCATTACTGGGCCATACTCTCGGGGTTTCTCCAGTGTCTGTCAGGCCAGTAAGTCTGGCCTTTTTTTGTGAGTTAGAATTTTGTTCTACATTTTTCTCCGTCTCTGTCTGGGGCCCTCTGTTGTGATCCTTGTCAGAGCAGTCAGTGGTGGTAGCCACCCACCATCTACTACCTCAGTCTGGTGGAGGCCATGGTAGTTGTGGTCCATTAGTCCTTTGGATTAACCTTTCCCATGTATCTTGTTTTCTTCCTTCTCCCTTGCTCCCGGAGGGGTGAGACCAGTGGAGGATCTTAGAAAGCCACTCACAGGCTTTTAAGACCCCAGACACTACTCACCAAAGTAGAATGTAGGGCATTTTCTTTATAAACTGTGTTATGCCGATTGAGCTAGATGTTCCCCGAGACCATGGTCCCCACAGCCCTCAGCCCAGCAATTCGGTCCCTCAGGGAGTTTGGATGTGCCTATGGAGCTTCCACGACCTTGCCTTGTACAAGTTGTGCTGGCTTCCCCAGTACTGTCTACTGTTTTACCCTTCACCAAAGTTACCACTTAGCTATTGTCTATTTAGTGTTTTTCCATCCCCACCCTCCGCCCTCTCGTAACCATCAAAGATTGTTTCTTTTTGTGTGTAAACCATTTCATGAGTTTTTACAGTAGTGGTCTCATACAATATTTGCCCTTTTGTGATTGACTTATTTCACTCAGCATAATGCCCTCCAGATTCATCCATGTTATGAGATGCTTCGCAGATTCATTGTTGTTCTTTATTGTTGTGTAATATTCCATTGTGTGTATGTACCATAGTTTGTTTATCCATTCATCTGTTGATGGGCATCTAGGTGGTTTCCATCTTTTTGTTATTATGAACAACGCTGCCATGAACATGGGTATGCATATGTCTATTCTTGTGACGGCTCTTATTTCTCTAAGATATATTCCTAGGAGTGGGATTACTGGATCATATGGTATTTCTATTTCTGGTTCTCTAAGGAAGCGCCATATTGTTTTCCAAAATGGTTGTATCATTTTGCATTCCCACCAGCAGTGCATAAGAGTTCCAGTCTCCCTGCAGCCTCTCCAACATTTGTTATTTCCAGTGTTTTTGATTCGTGCCAGGATGAGCCGGTATCTTGTTGTGGTTTTGATTTGCATTTCTCTAATGGCTAGCAATCGAGAGCATTTCCTCATGTGTCTTTTGGCCACTTGAATGTAGTCTTTGGTGAAGTGTCTGTTCATTTCCTTTGCCCATTTTCTAACTGGATTATTTGTCTTTTTGTTGTAGAAGTGTTGGATTTTCTTGTAGATTGTAGAGATCAGAACTTTGTCTGATTTGTAACAGCCAATATTTTTTTTACCCAGCCTGTAGGTTTTTTTTACTCTTTTGGTGAAGTCTTTTGATGAGCATAAGTGTTTAATTTTTAGAAGATCCCAGTTATCTAGCTTATCTTCTGGAGTTTGTGTGTATTGTTGGTTATGGTTTGTATCCTGTTAATGCCATGTATTAGAGCCTCTAGTGTTGATCCTGTTTTTTCTTCTTTGAACTATATAGTTTGTGGCTTTATATTTAGGTCTTTGATCCATTTAAATTAGTTTTTGTGTATGGTGTGAAGTATGGGTCCTGTTTCATTTTGTTGCAGATAGACATCCAGTTTTGCCAGCACCGATTGTTAAAAAGACTGTCTTTTCCCCATCTGATGGACTTTGGGCCCTTGTTGAAGGTCAAGTGACTGTAGGTGGAAGGATTTACATCTGGGTACTCGATTCTATTCCATTGGTCAGTGTTTCTGTTGTTGTACCAGTACCAGGCTGTTTTGACTACTGTAGCTGTATAATAAGTTCTGAAGTCAAGTAGTGCGTGTCTTCCTACTTTATTCTTCTTCAGTAGTGTTTACTTATCTATCCTGGGCATCTTCCCTTTCCATACAAAGTTAATGATTAGTTTTTGCATCTTTTTCAAGAACGTTGTTGGTATTTGGATCAGGATTGCATTGTATTTGTAGATTGCTTTGGGTAGAATTGTCATTTTTACAATGTTGAGCTTACCTATCCATGAGCATGGTATATTTTTCCATTTATGTAGATCTCTTTTGGTTTCTTGCAGTAGTGTTTTTTAGTTTTGTTTGTATAAGTTTTTGACATCCCTGGTTAGATTTATTACTAAGTATTTTATTTTTTTAGGGGCTATTATAAATGATATTGTTTTCCTGATTTCCTTTTTGTGTTCTCTTTATTGGCATATAGGAATCCAACTGATTTTTTTATGTTTATCTTATATCTTGCTACTCTGCTGAATCTTTCTAGTAGTTCCAGTAGTTTTCTTATGGAGTCTTTTGGGGTCACACCTTTTTCTTGATTGATATGGCTGAACTCACCAGTGTATTTCCAGTGCCTTCCCCTCGTCCATTCCCTCCTGCACACAGTAGGTCTTCTCCTAGCTTCTGGCTTAAAAAGCAGGAAACTTCCTGGGCCTTGAAGTGGGAAAGAAAGCCGCAAAATCTTCTGTATCTCTACCTTTCTTCTGAAGGTGGTTCCGCCATTCCACAACCTCTGTGCCCCAAATGAAAACTTCTGAGGTTCTACTTGGCATCATGATGGAGGTTAGCTTTCATTGTTTGCTTATTCTTTCTTTTCCTTTCATTAATTTTGTCTGTGAATTGCCTCCCCAGCATGTCATTCGAGCCCAGCGGGCCATCAACAATGAAATGGCACACCAGCTGTATGTGCTGCAGGTGCTCACTTTCAACCTCCTGGAAGACAGGATGATGACCAAGATGGACCCCCAGGATCAGGTGAGTGCTGGTAGACAGCAAGGCAAGCACACAATGGGGAGAAAGTGTCACTAAAATTTTTTTCTTGGGCTACCCTGAAACCATGGAGCCCTGGATGCATAGTGGTTAAAGCTCTTGGCTGCTAACTGAGAGGTCGGAGGTTCAAACACATCTGAGAGAAAGATGTGGCAGTCTGCTTCTGTAAAGATTACAGCCTTGGTAGCCCTATGGCACAATTCTAGTCCTATAGGGTTGTGCTAGAGGGTTGTTATGAATCAGAATCGACTCAATGCAATGGGTTTGGTTTGTTTACTTTACCGTGAAACCAGGAGTTATTAGATGATAATAACTTGGAGATATGGATTTTAGATTTAGGCAAATCTAGGATCAAATTAGAAAGGGGGAAGTGGTGGCTCAGTGGTAAGATTCTCACCTTCCATGTGGGAGACCAGGTTTGACTACCGGCCAATGCACCTCATGTACAGCTACCACCCATCTGTCACTGGACGCTTGTGTGTTGCTATGATATTGAACTGGTTTCAGTAGAGTTTCCAGACTAAGATGGACTCAGAAGAAAGACCTGGCAATCTACTTCTGAAAATCAGCTAATAAAAACCATATAGATCACAATGGTCTGATCTGCAACCAATCGTAGGAATGGCACAGGACCGGGCAGTGTTTTGTTGTTGTATGTGGGATTGCCGTGCATCACTGGCCAGCTCAATGACAGTTAACAACAAAAGAATAAAATAAAATGACTCTTTGATTTGGCCCCAAACACATGCATATTCTTCCTTTTTTGATAAGAAAGCTTGATGTCACATGGCCACAGACCTTGGCCCTTGGTCCCAATACCTTGAATGGTAATGGCTTTGGAGTTCAGTTCCCAGACAACTAGGGCCGCTTGGTAGCTTGGTGTGGTATTGCTTCTACAGGCTGCAGAAGTCATTTCCATTTTCCAGTGATGGTGGCAAGGATGGGGTCCCAGGTTAAACTGATTTCGGGGCTTGCATTTTTGTTGGTTGACCATTTGCTGTAATTCCCTGCTAGGACTCCAGCTATTGTACATGAAGGGTTATCCTCCTTTCATGGGACTTTTTGGGAGCTTTACTGTGTGAGGGTAGAGTGAAGGGAAACAGCTGGGAGCCCTGCTGTAGCACATTTTCAACTTAAATAGCGCTGCAGCTTTGGGAAGGAAAACACTCATTATTGGCATGTGAGGGCCTGATCTTTTGCAGATGTGAATTGCACATGTGAAGTGCGTAATTACCGCAGCAGTTCATTCATGGCAGAGGGCCATAGGATTAAGAACGATGGGGAGGCTTTGAGAGGCCATCTAGCGTGCCCCACGTTTTTGGCAAGGCCACATGTAGTCAGTCCAGAGAGAGGAGATTGTGGTCATCTTACTACTTCCAGTGATGGAGAGCAATGCATCCGAATGCAGAACAACCTCCCTATTTGGAAACCCTTCCTCTTAGTTTTGTACTGGATTCTGGATTTGTTTCTGTGAAGTCACTTCTAGTGGAGATAGGGATCCCTTTGTAACGTGAATACTATTCATAAACCTTGTGGGTCTCTCACTTTGTTTCTTCCCATTTCTCTAACTTGAGCTTCTCTAACCCCAACCCTTCCGTCGTATTTGTGGCTCTCAGAACAGCACTGGGCAGTCCATAGCAGCGCTCCCAAAGACTCCGCTGTGAGGTTACTTGTGGAATAAATCCAGAGCTGACCAGCAAGGATTGTGCCAGGAGGAGGACAAGGGTGCAAAGCCTTAACTTAAATATTGGTTGCCTTTTATTTTATCTGCTTTTCTTTTTCCTGAATGCAGTGATTCATCTAAACCTGGGAAAAGACGGAGTGCATGTAGTGTCAGGCAATGAAAGCTGATCTCCCTTTTACTTTTTTCTCCTAACCCATTCAGGCTCAGAGGGACATCATATTTGAACTTCGAAGAATTGCCTTTGATGCTGAGTCTGAACCCAATAACAACAGCGGCAGCATGGAGAAACGCAAATCCATGTACACCCGGGATTATAAAAAACTTGGCTTCATTGTAAGTAGCCTCTGCATAAGCTCACTCCTTCCAACATCCCTGGGCCTGACCTCAGTCTCTTAGCTGATGTCTCCTCTGAGCGTGTGGTCCTCTTGCGCCTTACAGAATAGTTTCCACATTCTCCAGATGTTTAGCTGGTTTAAACAGGATCACATGAAAATCTCTTCTGGACTCGGTGAAATGGAAGAACTTGCACCAGTGTGACTAATACTGAGTTTGTTTATTCAGTTCTGATTAAGTGTAACCAAGAGTAGTTAGCCCGGAATGTATCTAGACTTCATTAAATCCACTAAATCCACTCAACAAGATGCTTAAGGTTCTGTTTGAATTAAATGTATGATGGGGACAATAGGGACAGATTTCATCGAGTTTCTGGTTAAATTAATCCCATCCATTGATTTTATATCAGAATCTAACTGAGAGGTACCTGGCATTTAATTACTTTGAGATTTATGCAATTCGTATTTTTCCTAAAAGCCTTGTCTTGCTACCAATGTTAGATTTTTTTGTTGTTGTTTTCAGTTTGCAGATCAGGACACAGCTTACCCTGAATGTAACTGCTGTTTTGGTTTCTACTTGTAGTCTCTTCTTGCCTTAATCACCATCACCTTTCCGAGCGACCTTGATCTAATCTCAAATTCTGCGGGTATACAATTGGATCTCCATTTAAACCTGCATCATAATTGGCATAAACAAGACTTCAGCTTCAGTGATTAGAAATCACCAGGCATTATTTTGTAACTTGAAATACCCTTTCCTTGAATTATATATGTATATATATATGTTCATGCCTATATATATATGTATATATATATATTCATGCATGTTTTTACAAAAATGATATTGTGTTTTATGTGTTACTCGGGAATCTTGTCTTCCATGGGAATTTTCTTTGAAGATGTTTTCATATCAGTAAACATGTATTGTTTTTCATTACTGAAGAGGTTTTTTTTTTTTTTAATGTACTACAGTTTATTGAACCAAGCCCTTTTGTTGAATGTTTCAGTGTTATGAAATTACCAGTATCTCTAAAATTGACATCTTTGCATCCCAGTATTTACACACACCCATAATCACGTTCTTGGGATGAATTTGTGGAACTGTAATTTCTATGGTATGTGTTTTTCAAGGCTTTTGATATTGCTAAATTGCTTTCCATAAACATTGAGTAATATCCACTTCAACCAGCAGTGGATCAGAGTGACTTTTTTTTTTCCTTATTCTCTTCAATAGTATTTCTTAAACTTAAAAAAAAAAAAAAAAAAACCTAACATTCTGGTAAGTTATTATTTTTACAGTTAGCCTTAACATGTCTTTTCCAATAAGATTATTGAACACTGAATTCAGTTTTACAACTTATTTTATAGCAATACTATGGCATCAGGTTTACACCCTCATATTCTAGACTGGGACTTTGACATTCCACTTGATCTTTTAGTTGAATTGATTTTTAAATATTTTGGCAAAAGTTTCATGACTGATGGACAAGGTGAGGCTTCCTGTACTTGATGTGTGTTGACGATCAAGGCTTGTGGATGACCCTGGCTTGTGGATGGTGCTGGCCCTGCTCTCACGCACATCCTTTAACAGAAATGTTAAATGGAAAAGGCAGCATCCTTTAAACAGAAATGTAGTTAGAGGGAAGAAGGATGGGATCCACTTTATACTTCACTTACAGTTCCTTCCGGATTTTCCTTTTGTGTGGTGAGCAGGCATATATATCCACATTACCTGCTCTTTCTTACTCTGAAATCACTGCAGAATTGCCAAGGGGAGATTGCAGGGCGTGTTATTTCCAAAGATTCCAGGTGCTTCTGATACCCTGTTCTGGTTGAGAACCTGGTTCTAGCGTATGCCTGTGTTACTGCAATTTTGTCTTCCTCTTTCTGCCCCTACATGTATTGCTGGCACTTTGGGACTACGTATTAAGTGGTGACCGGAGTTCTTGACATGCACTGCTACCAGGATTCATCCTGTCTGTCCCAAGTCCTTGTGGTTTTCATTGTGGGCGGTTGAATTGCAGACACAGTGTCATTCCTTCTTCCAGCCATGCTGTGTGAGGGACTGAGAAGAGAAGGAAATGAACACTTAGCAGGACTCACTGAGTCTCATTCTGATTATTACAGGTTCTGGGTCTCTGAACCAGTTAAACCAGTTGCTGTCAAGTCACTCCCAAATCATGGTGACCCCATGTGTGCTCTTCCGAGGTGCCTCGGGGTGGACTCGAACCTCCAACCTTTCAGTTAGCAGCCATACGTATTAAACATTTGTACCACCAGGGAACTCCAGGTCTCTATGAAGGGCACATATAATGAGGGTGGGATGCCTATGAAGTATTTCTCTTTTTATTTTTAAGCTCTGTTCTTGTGTGAAATCACCGGAGTATTCCATGAGCCAAAGCCTGAGTAATTTTTCTCGATCTAGTTCCGTCTGTCTCAACATTATTGTTAATTCCTTCCACAATTTAGTATTACGGTATATCTTACTCCTAATTTTCAGTGTCTGATGAGTATTCTGCTTCATGAGTATTTTATAAAGAACGATGCTTTTTTTTTTTTTTTTTAACTGAAAATTAGTTTGATATGTTTGTAAGACCTGTAGCAGGTATGTGGCCCCCTCCCCAAGAACTTGAAAGTCAATTGGACGAGCGACATGGAGACTAACAAAAAAAAAAGAGTGTTGGTGCCCTTTATTTTTCTGTGGTTCTTTTTTAGTTTAAAATGTTAGTCTTTCCCCTGCAACTTCTCCCAGGCCACATTCTTGCATCAGAGACTTGAAAAATTGGGAAGACTATCTAGTAATGATTTCTAATGCTGGAAATGATACAACAACTTTGACAAGCAGATACTTTCGCTTTTGAGTACCCACCCAACGAGCCAGAAAGCTAGGATCATCAGTCAACGGAATCACAGGCTCATTGCGCCACCTAGAGGCCGGTTTGCAGAAACGCTGGAAGCTGACGGAATAGATGAAGAGTCTGGCTGCGAAAGCTCTCCATACTGTAAGCAATCTTGATGCCACATTTTCTGTGTGCTTCGAAAAGAGGAATAACCTTGCCTGTTAACTGCTTACTGAACTTAAGGAGTAATTTGATATATGGCTCATCTTTTGAATCTCTATGAAGAAAAGTTCAGTTCACAAGATGAAGATTGTTTTTTTCCATTTCACCTCTACCAAGTAGATAATGCCCAGATTTACAGTTGCCGATGAGTTGATCCTGACTCATGGTGACCCCATGTGTGTCAGAGTAGAACTGTCCTCAATGGCTGATTTTTTAGAAGATTTCCAGGCCTTTCATCTGAGGCCTTTTGGTTAGCAGGTGACATGTTAACTGTTTGTACCACCCAGGCAATGCCCAAACCAAAAAACCAAACCCACTGCCTTAGAATTGATTCCGACTCATAGCGATCCTATAGGACAGAGTAGAACTGCCCTATAGGGTTTCCAAGACTAAATCTTTACGAAAGCAGAATGCCACATCTTTCTCCCACGGAGCAGCTGGTGGCTTCAAACCACTGACCTTTTTGGTTAGCAGCTGAGTACTTTCACTACTGCGCCACCAGGGCTCCTAGGCAATGCCCAGGAGGTGTTAAATACCTAGTGTTTGGGGGAGAGTGGGCCTAGATTTCAATCTCAGCTTTCCTACTGACAAGCTGTGGGCCAGCGAGCTGGGTATTTAACCTACTTGGGCAATAGTTTCCTCACCTGTGAAACTGGGCAGCTACTTGTCTATTTCAAAGTTGTTTTGAGGACCCTGTGAGACCATCTCTTAGTGACGAGCACAGTGCCTGCAATGGAAGATGCGCTCGGCAAATGTTACTTCCCTCCCTTCCTTTTTGGAGTGCAGAAATCATAGGCAGCTTTGTACATTTTCTAAAGTAGAAAGGGTAGTTGCTCCAACAAGGCAGGTGGAACAGTTTGTTAAAGGATAATAAGCCACAACACCTTGGAGGAAGCAGAGGGACCCTGCACTCCTCTGCACTGCATCCCAATGGAACAGATTTTTATGATGAAATAATTCCAAAATCACAATCTAAAGTGGCTACATAGCTTGTCTGGTAAGTTATAACACAGAAAACCAAAACCAAACCTGTTGCCATCAAGTCAATTCTGACTCATCGCGACCCCACGTGTGTTGGAGTAGAACTATGCTCCACAGGGTTTTCAATGGATGATTTTTTGGAAGTAGATCACCAAGCCTTTCTTCCAAGGCACATCTGGATGGACTCGAACCTCCAACCTTTAGGTTAGCAGCTGAGCTCTCTAACTATTTGCAACACCCAGGGACTCTACCACAGAGAAAAGTGCATGCTTTTAAAATGAAGCTCTTTAATCTTACAAAATCTCTTATTTAATGATTATCTAGTTCCAAAATGGACATGCCTTTGGAGGTCCACTGCAGGCGTCAGGGTAGTCTGGGATAGTAATATTCTAACTGGCACTTCTAAGGAAGGACAGATGTATCTGTCAATATGATAGAATGCAGATTCTTATTTTTAGAATGAGTGTATTTTGAAACCAGGGGAAATGCCTGTGTGTGAACTACCCTGTAGACAGTCACGACCCAGGACTGCAAAATTGTTTCCATGGTCTGTGAAAGTGGCACTGAGCCCCTTCAGAGCGTGTCTGTGTCCTCATTTCAAATTTATAGTTTCTCTGTTTGCGAATTTTACCTTTGTCGAGTCGGTTGGATGAAGGTTAAGAAAGAGATGTCTGTAGTTCATTTTCCTGATCCCTCCTGAATCAAGGCAAATGTTAAAAATGGACAAGGTAACTTTTTTTTTTTCTCTTGATTTTTCTAGTTGCCATTTTCCCCCATTCCTTTAGCTTGACTATGGAAAAAATAAACTCATTTTTAAAGAAACTGTTTCTGGACAATATAATGTTGTTTAATATGAATGGAAATTTTTGATGAACATTTTCCTTAATATTTTCAGAGTGTCCTAAAGGAAAAAAATGACTAAGATTTGAGGGATGAAAAAAAGCAAAGGGTAATGGGA